GTCTTCTTTGACTTATTAGGCATTTCCAAAGTCTACATCATTAGTGTTGTAATTTTAATAGGACATCTCCATATGGTTATTGTTTGTTTCTATTTCTCTCCTGAAAGAAAAACAAAAAGAATTACAAACAAATATTTTCATCATTTAAACTACATGCACATATAAGTCATCTCCATACAAAGTTCTTCAAATACTAATTCAAATAATCACAGAAGCATGGTTACCACAAAACATTTTAAATTAGAAAGTCCAAATAGAGACCTATTTCAGGGCAGTTTAAGTACTCTACACAGCCCTACTGTCCCACAGGATTTGTTTAAGAAGAACATAGTATAATAATGTGTTTTGAGTATAATGAATTTTTGATAGTGAGATGTAGCATTGGGAAAGCAATTTAGCTCAGGTAGAGACTGGAAAAAAGGTAGAACTATATTAAAAGTGCATTATATTAAGATTTCAGTACTAATTTAGAAATAACTTTAATTCCAAAATTTCTTCCGTTCTTATTCTCAGTATATTATAACTTTTCACATGAAGAAGTGTTACATTCCATTGATTGCTGACTTATGACAATTGAGATATATAACAATTCCTTCTTTAAAAAATACTTAACTGAATAATGTTTTCATGTTCACAATTAATCAAATTTTTTTTATTAATTCTAGACAAATCACCTGGAGGGCTTGTACAAACACTAAGAGTTAGGTCCCACAGATGGGACAAGGAAACAGTGAATTTGCAATTCTAACAAGTTCACAGGTAAGCCTGGACTGCTGGCCCTTATGAGGATAATAGCACTTTGAAAACCACCAGTGTTTTAACAAATTTTAAGATTCTCTCATTTTATTTTTTCTTCTCCCATCATATTTTTGCATGAGTAATACACACTCAATAGTAAATTTTACTGTCTTTCCAAGTGGCCATGCAAAAAAACCTGTATTTTAAATTCCAAAGATTAAAAAAAAAAAAAAAAGCTTTAAGTTCTTTGATACTTATAAAATGTCCTACTACATGGCAACTAAAAATGCAATTATCTCAGAGATTCCTAAATATCAGTGAAATACACTGAAATGAAAGAATAAAACAATACTGGAAACAGAGCTAACTAGAGCAGTCATGTTTCAAAAGGATACACAAAAACAAAAACTCAACAATATTAACTGGGAAGTATAACAAAGAGCTGGAGTCTAATTTTACAAAGGCCCTAAAATTCTTTTACAAGCCTGATGAAACAGAAAGTTTAGTGTTCAACTGAAGAAAACAAAAAGGCTTATGAGACATTTTTGAAACATGTCCTATAATCAGCTCATATATATATATATATATATATATATATATATGAATAAATTAAGATAACAGCATACTGCTTATGTACTGTCCCATAAAAAGATGAATCAAAACTAGGAAAAAAAGAAAAAAGGGGTCTGAGGTTGTGGCTCAGTGGTAGAGAGCTTGCCTAGGATGTGTGAGGCACCTAGGTTTAAATCTCAGCATCACAGATAAATAAATGATTAAAATAAAAGTCCATCAGCATATAAAAAAGAAAAAAAGAATTCTACTTAAGGATAAATTGGACAAAGAAGTTTAACATGGGGGACATGAACGATCAGTTTTAACAATGAGAACCATGTGCTATTTAAGTGGAAGCTAGAAACGATGTTTCAATTTGAACTATAATTAAGTATGCACTTTTACAGAATCATTAAAATACATAGATTACATATGCATCTATCTATATATATATATATATATATACACATACAATGCATAACCTGAAACTGCACAAGTAAAAGACATAAAGAAAACAAAAAGGATAAAGGTCCTCATTAATTAGAGGTTTAAAAGATCTAGATTAAGAGGAGAAAAGTAAACATTTTTATATATTTATGAGCAAAAAAATGTAAACTCATCAATTAAAGTAAAAAAATCAATTTAGAATTTCTCAAAATCCCATTACACACTATTTATAATAAACCCAAAACACAAGGATACAAAAAAAGTTTAAGATTAATACATACATATGGTAACATATACCAAATTAAGACAACCATATCAATATCAGACAAACTGGTCTTAAAAGACAAAAGCCAGTTTTAGAAATAAAAGTGATCGCTACATACTGAATAAGAAACAGTTTTTGATAAACTGTTAAAATTGTCAGAATTATAAGGAGAAGCAAACAAATTCATGATAGGAGAATTTAACACATTTCTCTTAGTAATAGATAAAGCTGACAAGGAAGTAAAAAGTTTAACCCAAAGAATATAGAAAACTGGCACAAATAACTACAGAGTACACATTTTATCCAGGTATACAATGTATCATAAGAAGTGACTACATGCTAGGCCAGAAACCAAATTTYAATAAATGTCAGAGTCAGTTTCATAGTGTACCCATTTTCTGACATAAATTTKAGGAGCAAAAACAACTTAGACACATTTGGAAATCTTGAAACACTTCTAAAAGTCTTTTGAAAAAGTCAWAATGGAAATCAGAAAAATTTTATAGCAGTAMGACAATAAAAATGTATGGGTCCTCCAAAAGACACTAGAAATTTACATGTGTAGAATTTTTTTTAAAAAGCTAAAAAGTGATGAGCTCATCATCCACCTCAAGAAAGTAAAGAAAAAAATGAAAGAAAATATAACAGCAGAATATAATAAAATAGAAAAAAAAAAGAGAACAAAAACTTTAAAAAGTTGGTGCTTTGGCAGGTAACTCACAATAGGAAATCTCCAAAACACTGATTTTTTAAAAAATCATAATAGTACAAATATAAAAATACTATTAATGTTAATATGCCAATAAATTTAACAGGATAAGGCAAACTGAACAACTTCAAAAGAGATAGAGCTACTGACAAGTGCTTGGACTCATGATACATTTTGAAAGCCAAGACAACCATCACTTACTGATGGATTAGATAAGGGGTAATAAACAATAGTATCAAGAATGAGTCCAGGATTTTTAGACTAAACATCTCTAAAAGAAAAAATGGTACATATTCTCTTAAAAAAGAAAAAAAAAGGAGATTGGGGTAGGCAAAAAATAGGAATTATATTAATGTTTATGAGATAATAAATGAAGATGTCAAATATGTAATTAGATGTGTCTTTGATAACAATGGTTTAGAATGGGAATACAAATTTGGAAGTCATCAGGACACAGTAAACATCCATCAAGATAATTAGTTCTCCAGAAGTTTATGGTCCATTTCTTTCTAATAAACAAATCCTACAAGTATACTACCAAGAAGTAGGAATGTACCTTAAACTATTAATATTAAATATTCTAATAATTCTAATATAGTCCATGTGCCTAGAACTATCAGTTACAAATCACTAGAAATACAAAAACTAGAAATGATGAGCTATCAGTGATATTATCAACTTCAAATGTAAYTAAAAAGGCATTCTAGGATACAAACTATCAAGTGATTCACAGAATTCAATTTTTCTTATATTCTCAGAATATGTATTTTTTAATTATTTTAATGTTTTAATTAGTTACACATGACAGTTGAATGGACTTTGATACATCATATATAATGAACTAYAATTTCTGATTCTTCTGGTTGTACATGATGTAAAATCACACCAGTCATATAGTTATATATGTATATAGGGTACTAATATCTAATTACAGAATTCAATTTTTTCTTTAAATAATAAAAATGATTAACAGAAGAATTCTTCCCTTCCAACCCTCCCCACCCCAACCTTTCTCCATTAATAGCACACTATACCTCAACAACTCATACTGTGAGATTTTAGGGCTATTAAGTCTGAAGAAAAAACTGGATAGTTCAGGGTTTCTTCTCCAACCCAATACACTGGAGGATCAACAAAGATCCTAGGATCAAGACCAGAAAATGGCCCATGGAACTGAACCCAAGAAGTTGTTGTCAACAACTCATATTTTTCTGACAGATAGTCCCTACGCTTCAAACCAGGAAAGAGACAGAAAATAAAGATTTTCTTCAATGTCCTAAGAGGGAACACCAGCTCGTCTTTAAATAACTTTTCTTCTAATCATCTGAAGGTTTATCATTATTAGCAATACTTCAGTAACTAGACCAGAGGCCACAAATGAGTCACAAGGGAAAAGTAACCATGTATCTAAGAAGCCATGGCATCTAGAAAAATAAAAATGAAGGTAAGCACTGAGAACATAGTACAATAGAATTACTGAAAGAACAGTGAACACGTGCAGAAACAGTAAAAGAAGCAAACATTTGAAATTCAAATGMAATAAACACAAAAATACATTTGTATCTTAGAAAACTAGTTTTCAAATTGAAAAACTCAGTAGATAAATTAAAGGGGCAAATGAAAATAGTGACAATTAAACAAACTTCACTAATTCTTTGA